AGACCCCCTCCCCCTTCAGGGTCCTGCCCCTTCAGGTGTGTCCCAGGTAGACGCAGTCGAGCCTGTCGAGGTTACTGGTGACTCTGGTGCTGCTGAGGGTGCTGAGCCTGGGGGTGCTGACCCTGGGGGTGCTGAGCGTGTGGGTGCTACGCCTGGGGGTGCTGAGCCGGAGGGTGCTACTACTGGGGGTGCTGAGCCTGGGGGTGCTACTACTGGGGGTGCTGAGCCTGGGGGTGCTGAGCCTGGGGGTGCGGAGCCTGAGGGAGCTGGGCCTGCTCGTGTGACGTCTGGCGGTGCTGAGCCTGGAGGTTCTCCGGGTGCTTCGTCTCGGCGGGAGCCACTCTCTCCACAGGAGCTGCGCGAGTGGTTTGCCCGGCGCTGGAGGCGTGCTGCTGGAGCTGGAGGTTCTTCGGCTGCTGAGGGTGCTGGTGCCGTGGGTCCCGGAGGTGCTCGTACTGGGAGTACTGGAGCTGCTGGGCCTGCGGGTACGACTGGAGCTGGAGCTGCTGAGGGTGTTGGCGCTGAGGCTACTGCTGTCGGTCCTGGAGGCGGTCCTGCTGGGGGTACTACTGGTGCGGCTGGAGGTCTTGGAGCTGGAGGTGCTGCTGGCGCTGGTGCTGCCGCTGGGGGTACTGGTGCTGTCCCTGCTGTGTCTGGAGTCGCCGCGCGGCCTCGGCCGTACTTCGTTCCGCTCCTTCAGCAGGTTCTTGGTCTCCCGCCTTCTACTGGTCCTCCTCCTCCCTTAGAGTGTCCACAGCCTATCCCGTCACAGTTCCAGTTACAGCCGGCCTCCCCACTGCCCGCTCCCTCTCCCTACACTGGTCCTACTGGAGGTCTTGCTGAGCGTCGTGAGCCTGCGTCCCGCCCTGCGTCGCCTGTCCGTGCTGCTCGCACTAGTGGTCGTGGTTCGCGTCAGCGTCCTCCTCCTGTCCCTGGCACACACCGGATGTCTCTGCGTCCGTCCACTGCTCCTCTGCGTGCCCCTTTGCCTTCTCCTCCTGAGTCCTCTCTTCCTGCTCTTCCTGACCCGGAGTCGGACTCTCTTCGTGCTGCCAGTCCTACTGTCACACGTCTCCTTGCTACTGTTGTCACTGACCCTTCCTTTGAGTCCACTGCTGCGTCTGCCCTAGTTACTGAGCTCGTCGACTTTGCTGCTCGCTGTCGTCTAGACTACGCTGCTAGTCTTGTTGCTGAGTCTGTCTGTCCTCCGTCCGTCAGGGGTGAGTGTGCCCTTGGCACGGACGTCCTTGAGGACAGGCAGGAGGAGTTCCAGTGTTTGGCTGCTGCTTCACCTCATCTCGTGTCCGTACTGCTTACCCCTGAGGGAGACCCGGATGCACTTGACATCCCGACTCCGCGCTCTTACGCGGAGGCGATAGAGGGTCCCTACTCCTCTCAGTGGCAGGCAGCTATGGACGCAGAGATGGCTTCCTGGAAGTCCACAGGCACCTACGTCGACGAGGTTCCCCCGCCTGGGGCGAACATCGTCAGTGGCATGTGGATTTTCAGGGTGAAGCGGCCGCCGGGTTCTCCGCCTGTCTTCAAGGCGCGTTACGTGGCTCGTGGCTTTAGTCAGCGGCAGGGAGTTGACTACTTTCAGACCTTCTCTCCCACCCCGAAGATGACCACTCTTCGGGTACTGCTGCACGTAGCTGCTCACCGCGACTACGAGCTGCACTCTCTTGACTTCAGCACTGCTTTCTTGCAGGGTAGCCTGCACGAGGAGATCTGGCTGCGTCGCCCACCTGGCTTCACTGGGTCTTTTCCTCCTGGCACCCAGTGGAGCCTCCGGCGGCCAGTCTACGGTCTCCGCCAGGCACCGCGTGAGTGGCACGACACACTGAGGACTACACTTGCGGCTCTTGGGTTTGCTCCCTCTACTGCCGACCCGTCGCTGTTTCTGCGCACCAACACTTCTTTGCCGCCGTTCTACATCCTCGTGTACGTCGACGACTTGGTCTTTGCCACAGCTGACACTGCTGGACTCGCCCACGTGAAGTCCGAGCTGCAGAAGAGACACACGTGCACAGACCTGGGTGAACTGCGCAGCTACCTTGGCTTGCAGATCACCCGGGACAGAGCACGCCGCACCATTACCCTGACTCAGTCACACATGGTGCAGCAGGTCCTTCAGCGCTTCGGCTTCACGTACTCCTCGCCTCAGGCCACTCCTCTGCCTACTCGCCACTCGCTCTCAGCTCTGCCTTCGGATGAGTCCGTAGAGTCGAGTGGCCCGTACCCAGAGCTTGTTGGCTGCCTCATGTATCTGATGACCTGCACACGACCTGACCTTGCATACCCTCTTAGCATTCTCGCACGCTGTGTTGCTCCTGGGAGACACAGACCGGAGCACATGGCTGCAGCGAAGAGGGTGTTGCGCTACTTGTGCAGTACGTCGGGCATGGGGCTTGTGCTTGGAGGGCAGAGTCCAGTGGTCCTCACTGGGCACGCAGACGCTTCTTGGGCTGACGACCAGGCTACGCAGCGGTCGTCACAGGGTTACACCTTCAGCCTTGGTTCCGGTTCTGTTTCGTGGCGGGCTACCCGCTCGTCTTCTGTTCTCGGCTCCAGTTGTGAGGCTGAGATCTACGCTGGGGCCATGGCTGCACAGGAGCTTCGCTGGCTCACCTACCTGCTGACTGACCTCGGAGAGCCGCCTCGTTCTCCTCCAGTGCTGTACGTAGACAACAAGGCCATGCTGGCCTTGTGTCGAGAGCAGAGACTGGAGCACAGAACGAAGCACATTGCTCTCCGCTACTTCCTTGCTCGTGAGCTACAGCAGCGTGGTCAGCTGCGACTTGCGTACGTGGCCTCTCAGGCCAACACTGCTGATATCTTCACCAAGGCACTTGCGCCTTGTGATCATCAGCGTTTCTGTACTCAGCTGGGCCTTGTGCCTACCTTGCCTCACTTGCTCACCCCTTGACCTTGTTTGTACTGTTGCATATATATATACACGTGCTCTTGCTTGTCTAGCCTTATATATATATGTAATCCTGCATGTGAACTGGCCTTGTGGCCTTGAACTTGTGCTCGGAATGTGTGGTGACTTTGTGATCCACCCTGAGCTTGCTTTGCTTTGCTTGACTGGTCTTGTGACCCCTTGTTCTCCCCCACTTTGCCTATGGGGGTGTGTCAGATTTATATGACAGAGCTACTGTAGGCTATAGTGGGGTAGCACATATGGGGTACAGTTTTCTAGGGTTTGTATTTGTACCCAACTTTCCCTTAGTCATTCTCATTCCTGTTTTCTTAATTCACAATTGATCCCTATAAGCGTAGGGAAAAGCATCAAGCGACCCAAATTTTGTTTCATATTCGGGTGGCCCATGTTCAAATACACCTTCCAGAGCAACTTCAGCTTGGTTCGCGCGCACACAAAAGTTCGGCGCCCGCGCGATGACGGGCGTGCCTGCCCACAAATGCTAAGGAAGCGCATTGATCCCTATAAGCGTAGGAAAAAAACATCCAACGACCCGAATTTTGTTGCATATTCGGGTGGCCCATGTTCAAATACACCTTCAAGAGCAACTTCTTCCTGGTTCGTGCGCACAGAAAAGTTCGGCGCCCGCGATGACGGCCGTGCCTGCCTACAAAGGCTAAGGAAGCGCATGAATCCCTATAAGCGTAAGGAAAAGCATCGAACGACCCAAATATTGTTGCATATTCGGGTAGCCCATGTTCAAATACACCTTCCACAGCAACTTCAGCTTAATTCGCGCGCACAGAAATGTTCGGCGCCTACGATGACGGCCGTGCCTGCCCACAGATGCTAAGGAAGCGCATTGATCCCTATAAGTGTAGAAAAAAACATCAAACGACCCGAATTTTGTTGCATATTCGGGTGGCCCATGTTCAAATTTACCTTCCAGAGCAAATTCAGCTTGGTTCGCGCGCACAGAAAAGTTCGGCGCCCGTGATAACGGCCGTGCCTGCCCACAAATGCTAAAGAAGCGCATTGATCCCTATAAACGTAAGTAAAAGCATCCAACGACCCGAATATTGTTGCATATTCATGTGGCACATGTTCAAATACACCTTCCAGAGCAACTTCAGCTTGGTTCGCACGTACAGAAAAGTTCGGCGCCCGCGATGACGGCCGTGCCTGCCGGCAAATGCTTAGGAAGCGCATGGATCCCTATAAGCGTGAAGAAAAGCATCCAACGACCCCAATATTGTTGCATATTCGGGTGGCCCATGTTCAAATACACCTTCCAGAGCAACTTCAGCTTGGTTCGCGCGCACAAAAAAAGTTCGGCGCCCGTGATGACGGCCGTGCCTGCCCACAAATGCTAAGGAAGCGCATGGATCCCTATAGGTGTAGGGAAAAGCATCAAACGGCTCGATTGTTGTTGCATATTCGGGTGGCCCATGTTCAAATACACCTTCCAAAGCAACTTCACCTTGGTTCGCGCGCACAGAAAAGTTCGGCGCCCGCGAAGACGGCCGTGCCTGCCGACAAATGCTAAGGAAGCGCATGGATCCCTATAGGCGTAGGAAAAAGCATCGAACGACCCGATTATGTTGCATATTCAGGTGGCCCATGTTCAAATACACCTACCAGAGCAACTTCAGCTTGGTTCGCGCGCACAGAAAAGTTCGGCGCCCGCGATGACGGCAGTGCCTGCCGACAAATGCTAAGGAAGCGCATGGATCCATATAAGCGTAAAGACAAGCACCCAACGACCCGAATATTGTTGCATATTCGGTTGGCCCATGTTCAAATACACCTTCCAGAGTAACTTCAGCTTGGTTCGCGCGCACTGAAAAGTTCGGCGCCCGCGATGACGGCCGTGCCTGCCAACAGATGCTAAGGAAGCGCATGGATCCCTATAGGCGTAAGGAAAAGCATCGAACGACCCGAATATTGTTGCATATTCGGGTGGCCCATGTTCAAATACACCTTCCAAAGCAACTTCAGCTTGGTTCGCGCACACAGAAAAGTTCGGCGCCCGCGATGATGGCCGTGCCTGCCCACAAATGCTAAAGAAAGGAAGCGCATGGGTGATGAGAGTAGGGAGAAGGGTGATGAGAGTAGGGAGAAGGGTGATGAGAGTAGAGAGAAGGTTGATGAGAGTAGGGAGAAGGGTGATGAGAGTAGGGAGAAGGGTGATGAGAGTAAAGAGAAGGGTGATGAGAGTAGGGAGAAGGTTGATGAGAGTAGGGAGAAAGGTGATGAGAGTAGAGAGAAGAATGATGAGAGTAGGGAGAAGGGTGATGAGAGTAGGGAGAAGGTGATGAGAGTAGGGAGAAAGGTGATGAGAGTAGGGAGAAAGGTGATGGGAATAGGGAGAAGGGTGATGAGAGTAGGGAGAAGGAAGATAAGAGTAGGGAGAAGGGAGATGAGAGATGATGCTTGCGACCCTCCCACGCCCTTGCTGGCTTGACAATAGGCCCAGACAAGTGCAGCCAGGTAACCCGGTAGAAGAAATACGCTCAGAACGAACACTTCAGCCTCAAAACGCGGAAGGATCCGCACATGTGCAGGAAGTGCAGCGGGCGCTCTTCATTCGGGAGGCGCTGATGACCAAAGATGCTTGCAACCCTCCCACGCCCTTGCTGGCTTGGCAATAGGCCCAGGCAAGCGCAGCCATTTGACCCAGTAGAAGAAAAACGCTCAGAACAAGCGCTTCTAGCCTCAAAACGCGGAAGGATCCGCACATGTGCAGGAAGTACAGCGGGCGCTCTTCATTCTCGAGCGCTGATGACCAATGATGCTCGCCACCCTCCCACGCCCTTGCTGGCTTGGAAATAGGCCCAGACAAGCGTAGCCATGTGACCAGGTAGAAGAAAAACGCTCAGAACGAGTGCTTCCAGCCCCGAAACGCGGAAAGATCCGCACATGTGCAGGAAGTGCAGCGGGCGCTTTTCATTCGCGAGCGCCGATGACCGATGATGCTTGCATCAGGCGGGATGATGGAAGGAGGGAGGATGGGGCGGGGTGATGGAAAGCGGGAGAATGGGGCGGGGTGATGGAAAGCGGGAGAGTGGGGCGGGGTGATGGAAAGAGGGAGAATGGGGCAGGGTGATAGAAAGAGGGAGAATGGGGTGGGGTGATGGAAAGCGGGAGAATGGGGCAGGGTGGTGGAAAGAGGGAGAATGGGGCGGGGTGATGGAAAGAGGGAGAATGGGGCGGGGTGATGGAAAGCGGGAGAATGGGGCGGGGTGATGGAAAGTGGGAGAATGGGGCGGGGTGCTGGAAAGCGGGAGAATGGGGCGGGGTGATGGAAAGCGGGAGAATGGGGTGGGGTGATGGAAAGAGGGAGAACGGGGCGGGGTGATGGAAAGCGGGAGAATGGGGCGGGGTGATGGAAAGAGGGAGAATGGGGCGGGGTGATGGAAAGATGGAGAATGGGGCGGGGTGATGGAAAGCGGGAGAATGGGGAGGGGTGATGGAAAGAGGGAGAATGGAGCGGGGTGATGGAATGAGGGAGAATGGAGCGGGGTGATGGAAGGAGGGAGAATGGGGCGGGGTGATGGAAAGAGGGAGAATGGGGCGGGGTGATGGAAAGCGGGAGAATGGGGCGGGGTGATGGAAAGCGGGAGAATGGGGCGGGTTGCTGGAAACCGGGAGAATGGGGCGGGGTGATGGAAAGAGGGAAAATAGGGCAGGATGATGGAAAGCGGGAGAATGGGGCGGGGTGATGGAAAGCGGGAGAATGGGGCGGGGTGATGGAAAGCGGGAGAATGGGGCGGGGTGATGGAAAGAGGGAGAATGGGGCGGGGTGATGGAAAGCGGGAGAATGGGGCGGGGTGATGGAAAGAGGGAGAATGGGGCGGGGTGATGGAAAGATGGAGAATGGGGCGGGGTGATGGAAAGCGGGAGAATGGGGAGGGGTGATGGAAAGAGGGAGAATGGAGCGGGGTGATGGAATGAGGGAGAATGGAGCGGGGTGATGGAAGGAGGGAGAATGGGGCGGGGTGATGGAAAGAGGGAGAATGGGGCGGGGTGATGGAAAGCGGGAGAATGGGGCGGGGTGATGGAAGGAGGGAGGATGGGGCGGGGTGATGGAAAGCGGGAGAATGGGGCGGGGTGATGGAAAGCGGGAGAATGAGGCGGGGTGATGGAAAGCGGGAGAATGGGGCGGGGTGATGGAAAGCGGGAGAATGGGGCGGGGTGATGGAAAACGGGAGAATGGGGCGGGGTGATGGAAAGCAGGAGGATGGGGCGGGGTGATGAAAGGAGGGTGAATGGAGCGGGGTGATGGAAAGCGGGAGAATGGGGCGGGGTGATGGAAAGCCGGAGGATGGGGCGGGGTGATGGAAGGAGGGAGAATGGAGCGGGGTGATGGAAAGCAGGAGAATGGGGCGGGGTGATGGAAAGCGGGAGAATGGGGCGGGGTGATGGAAAGCGGGAGAATGGGGCGGGGTGATGGAAAGCGGGAGAATGGGGCGGGGTGATGGAAAGCGGGAGAATGGGGCGGGGTGATGGAAAGCGGGAGAATGGGGTGGGGTGATGGAAAGTGGGAGAACGGGGCCGGGTGATGGAAAGCGGGAGAATGGGGCGGGGTGATGGAAAGCGGGAGAATGGGGCGGGGTGATGGAAAGCGGGAGAATGGGGCGGGGTGATGGAAAGAGGGAGAATGGGGCGGGGTGATGGAAAGCGGGAGAATGGGGCGGGGTGATGGAAGGAGGGAGTATGGGGCGGGGTGATGGAAAGCGGGAGAATGGGGCGGGGTGATGGAAAGCGGGAGAATGGGGCGGGGTGATGGAAAGCGGGAGAATGGGGCGGGGTGATGGAAAGCGGGAGAATGGGGCGGGGTGATGGAAAGCGGGAGAATGGGGCGGGGTGATGGAAGGAGGGAGAATGGGGCGGGGTGATGGAAGGAGGGAGAATGGGGCTGGGTGATGGAAAGCGGTAGAATGGGACGGGGTGATGGAAAGCGGGAGAATGGGGCGAGGTGATGGAAAGCGGGAGAATGGTGCGGGTTGATGGAAAGCGGGAGAATGGGGTGGGGTGATGGAAAGCGGGAGAATGGGGCGGGGTGATGGAAGGAGGGAGAATGGGGTTGGGTGATGGAAAGCGGTAGAATGGGGCGGGGTGATGGAAAGCGGGAGAATGGGGCGGGGTGATGAAAAGCGGGAGAATGGGGCGGGGTGATGGAAAGCGGGAGAATGGGGCGGGGTGATGGAAGGAGGGAGAATGGGGCGGGGTGATGGAAGGAGGGAGAATGGGGCTGGGTGATGGAAAGCGGTAGAATGGGACGGGGTGATGGAAAGCGGGAGAATGGGGCGAGGTGATGGAAAGCGGGAGAATGGTGCGGGTTGATGGAAAGCAGGAGAATGGGGTGGGGTGATGGAAAGCGGGAGAATGGGGCGGGGTGATGGAAGGAGGGAGAATGGGGCGGGGTGATGGAAGGAGGGAGAATGGGGTTGGGTGATGGAAAGCGGTAGAATGGGGCGGGGTGATGGAAAGCGGGAGAATGGGGCGGGGTGATGAAAAGCGGGAGAATGGGGCGGGGTGATGGAAAGCGGGAGAATGGGGCGGGGTGATGGAAAGCGGGAGAATGGGGCGGGGTGATGGAAAGCGGGAGAATGGGGCGGGGTGATGGAAAGCGGGAGAATGGGGCGGGGTGATGGAAAGCGGGAGAATGGGGCGGGTTGCTGGAAAGCGGGAGAATGGGGCGGGGTGATGGAAAGTGGGAGAATGGGGCGGGGTGATAGAAAGCGGGAGAATGGGGCGGGGTGATGGAAAGCGGGAGAATCGGGCGGGGTGATGGAAAGCGGGAGAATGGGGCGGGGTGATGGAAAGCGGGAAAATGGGGCGGGGTGATGGAAAGCGGGAGAATGGGGTGGGGTGATGGAAAGCGGGAGAATGGGGCGGGGTGATGGAAGCGGGAGAATGGGGCGGAGTGATGGAAGGAGGGGGGATGGGGCGGAGTGATGGGAAGCGGGAGAATGGGGCAGAGTGTTGGAACACGGGAGAATGGGGCGGGATGATGGAAGGCGAGAGAATGGGGCGGGGTGATGGAAAGCGGAAGAATGGGGCGGGGTGATGGAAAGCGGGAGAATGAGGCGGGGTGATGGAAAGCGGGAGAATGGGGCGGGGTGATGGAAAGCGGGAGAATGAGGCGGGGTGATGGAAAGCGGGAGAATGGGGCGGGGTGATGGAAAGCGGGAGAATGGGGCGGGGTGATGGAAAGCGGGAGAATGGGGCGGGGTGATGGAAAGCGGGAGAATGGGGCGGGGTGATGGAAAGTGGGAGAATGGGGCGGGTTGCTGGAAAGCGGGAGAATGGGGCGGGGTGATGGAAAGCGGGAGAATGGGGCGGGGTGATGGAAAGCGGGAGAATGGGGCGGGGTGATGGAAAGCGGGAGAATGGGGCGGGGAGATGGAAAGCGGGAGAATGGGACGGGGTGATGGAAAGCGGGAGAATGGGGCGGGGTGATGGAAAGCGGGAGAATGGGGCGGGGTGATGGAAAGCGGGAGAATGGGGCGGGGTGATGGAAAGCGGGAGAATGGGGCGGGGTGATGGAAAGCGGGAGAATGGGGCGGGGTGATGGAAAGTGGGAGAATGGGGCGGGTTGCTGGAAAGCGGGAGAATGGGGCGGGGTGATGGAAAGCGGGAGAATGGGGCGGGGTGATGGAAAGCGGGAAAATGGGGCGGGGTGATGGAAAGCGGGAGAATGGGGCGGGGTGATGGAAAGCGGGAGAATGGGGATGGAAAGCGGGAGAATGAGGCGGGGTGATGGAAAGCGGGAGAATGGGGCGGGGTGATGGAAAGCGGGAGAATGAGGCGGGGTGATGGAAAGCGGGAGAATGGGGCGGGATGATGGAAAGCGGGAGAATGGGGCGGGGTGATGGAAAGCGGGAGAATGGGGCGGGGTGATGGAAAGCGGGAGAATGGGGCGGGGTGATGGAAAGCGGGAGAATGGGGCAAGGAGAAGGAAAGCGGGAGAATGGGGCGGGGTGATGGAAAGTGGGAGAATGGGGCGGGGTGATGGAAAACGGGAGAATGGGGCGGGGTGATGGAAAGCGGGAGAATGGGGCGGGGTGATGGAAAGCGGGAGAATGGGGCAGGGTGATGGAAAGCGGGAGAATGGGGCGGGGTGATGGAAAGCGGGAGAATGGGGCGGGTTGCTGGAAAGCGGGAGAATGGGGCGGGGTGATGGAAAGCGGGAGAATGGGGCGGGGTGATAGAAAGCGGGAGAATGGGGCGGGGTGATGGAAAGTGGGAGAATGGGGCGGGTTGCTGGAAAGCGGGAGAATGGGGCGGGGTGATGGAAAGTGGGAGAATGGGGCGGGTTGATAGAAAGCGGGAGAATGGGGCGGGGTGATGGAAAGCGGGAGAATGGGGCGGGGTGATGGAAAGCGGGAGAATGGGGCGGGGGTGATGGAAAGTGGGAGAATGGG